GAGCATATGTTTGCGTCCTTTATAAATAAACAATTTTTTGTTGTACTGAATTGGTAGGGATGCCAATAATTTTGGCATTCGACAGGGAACATAGTATCACCGAAGTTATTCACAGCAGTCATAGAAGAGGTTTTCAAGACTCAGCATTGATAACATCAACTGCCGAACATAAATGGGCATTACTTATGCCACCTTCAATTTTCAAAAGCATTCTGATCTTTTCAAGGGTATCAGAAGAAGTACGAAAAGCATCCAAGAGCTGAGCGACACCAACATAAAAATGTTGCTGTTGCAAATGATATTGAAGAAACTTCATGTCTTCTTTAACAAATACGTGGTCGCTCAACCTGATAAAGTCAGCTGACTCAAGCTTGAAGAGGTTTAAAACCACGTTTATCTGGTACAACTGACCCCTGTAACGGAAAATTGACCATGTTAAATCATCAGAAGAATGTAAATGGCAGGAAACACTCAAAGCGTTTCTTTCATAGAAACTGCCATGGTACGTAAAACGAAACGTGTTCTCCCAGTGCTAACCTCTACCTGCGAAACGTCGACTCGTCGGAAGTCGGAAAGCTGTTCATGAAATACAAACTAGGCAACGCAGCATGGAAAGACACATGCTAGGAATGACAAGAAAAGGTAGGAAGATGAACGAATGGATAAGGGCACAAAGAAGTCTGCGATGCCATAAGTTCAAGTGACAATGTGCTTTACACGTTGCAAGAAGAACCCACCGTCGCTGGACCCTAGCGACATTAGACTGAGTTCCAAGGGAGAGTCAGCAACCCATAGGACCACTTGCAAATAGATTGCAGGATGAACGGAAGAAGTTGGGTGGATCAGGATGGATGGAAACAAGAGACAACAGTAGTTTATGACAGTTTTGTGGAGGCCTTCATCCAGCAGCGGATCTACAAGGATTGATGATGATATCAATACTTTTCGATATTAGTAATTATACTGTAAATATGACGAAACTCGTTTTGCATTGCTCAACTCTGTGCTGAACACCCATTAAAACAGTTAACAATGTCGACTTTTGGTTTGTGCATGCAAGATCTTCTTCAACATAACTCACTTTCTGTTGATCTTGGTGGTTGCTGGAACTGCAGCTTGTTGAAACTTGCCATGTCTCATATGATTATTAGCATGATCACATGGCAGTTCATGCACGAGTGAATGAAGGCTGGAAGGAAGACAGTGAACTTCTAAACGAATCAATGAATGAATGACCATCGATTAACATAATTAGTTACTGACTAACTTTGTAATCGAATGGAAAAGCAAGCGAAAGAACGAGTCTATGAATAGAAGTGCATAGACTATACTGTACATTTGACAACATATTTTAGTATGACAGTCTGCGAATTAACGTAGCATCAGACAAGGATGTCGGAGTATGGGGTTCGTGTGCCGACTTAAAAACGCGTTGCGACATAACGGACTTGATCAAGTCAGAGCCAGCTTACGCAGACTTAGAATCTGTTACCACGAAGTACGCTTTTCTGTTGCTTATATGTCTTTTAACCTCTTACAGCGTTTTCAGGTTCAGCGACACACTTGTGATCGTTGCATCGTTAAAGCAGCGCGTCGGCGCTATGGTTGGTCATGCGATGAATGACACGAGGTTTTTTAACCTACCGTTTCTGTCGTTGATTAACTTCGCCATTCTTGAACGAGTTGGAAGGTAATTTCATATATTCGTTACAATTCTGCCCACAGTACATGTGGTATACTTTAGCCCATTGAGCAGTCAGATACCAGAGCGCTTGGTAGCGTATTCGAAATGTTGTGCTGCTATTCATAGTGCTCTTCGCATCATCACCAATGTTTTCACAAACGATGCAAACTTTGCACCCCAAAATTTCTCAGTATTAAGTCTTCACTATAAAAACAGCGTACGCGGGTCTCAACCTCTCTAAGCAGCTTCATTGTCATTCATTCATTCGCAGACCTTCAAATGGCAATAAT